CGTCACGCCAGGACGCTGGCTTTTAAATTCTTGTCTTTCCAACCGCGCGCAAAAATCACCTGGACTAAAAAGGACTGCACAGCTATGATGAACTTTCCCATTTATTTTACCTTTCCTGACAAATTCATGCCTGCTTTATAGAAAAATACATTGAGATGTCCCTTAGTATGCGGACTTTAAAAAATTGCATCTGTTAAACTTATATCCGAAGATATTTTATCTCTTCTAGTTTGTGATTTCGAGATTTTGATGCCCGTGAGATGTCTGTTGGGATAGCAATGTTCCCCGTAGAGTAGGCGACATCGCTCGGATCCATTGCGACATTTTGTGACTTCTGTATGAGGCCTTCCTAGAATCAGTGTATGACTTTCCTGGAATGAAAACTCCCAAATAGTAGTATGGATGCCTTTGCAGGTTCGGGTTAAACACTATCCGACAATCGGCAGGCTTTATAAAACGAGAAAATACCGTTTATTTAGATACAGAGTTTATAAGGTGACGTAAATTTCTACAAATGCGTACAAGACAGGAGAGGTTCATGCGTATTTTCCATAAAATAGGGTTGCCATTTTTTCACCCACACATAATAAATGAAAAGAATACACATTACATAAGTGTAATTGTAAAGAAGACGAAGACGCGATCTCTGGAACGATAGAGATCGCTTCTTCGTCTTCTTTACAACAAGAACCTGGGGCACGCATATTTGCTTCTATTCATAAGTGTAATTGTTGCGAATATTTGGAATGTCGGCGTGCTGGTATGAGATGAGTTGTACAGTGCACCCTAAGCAATCCTGCCTTAGTGAAATGGCATTTCCGAATTCCGTTTAGTGTTCCATCAGGTATTTGCCAGTTGAGGTAACCTGCGTTCGTAATCCTCTCCACTAGCTCCGAACTCCGCGCTGCGTATTGCATTTCACTGAAAATGTTTTCTCTTCTCCATATTTATCGATATTCAGATGGCTTTCGATAAAGTACCGTATTCTACAAGCAGCAGTCATATACTTACGAGTAGTAGCATGCGCAAATACTCGGGGCCCAAATACTCGAGCCCAGAAAGTGAACGTTTTTACGTCCTTTCTGGAAAGGACAATTGTTTTTATTCAAATCTTTACAAGAAACCCCGTCTTTACAATTCTCTATGTTTGTAGTATGAAGAATCCATCCTCATACACGCATTAACCTGCTGCCTTGTCTAAATAAGCCCGTGCGTAACTTTTTTACTAACCGTAATTTCATTTTAAGTCAAGTAACCGCTACCTATTGGTGACATACCTAAAACGTTAGCTAAACTTCATGAGTTTCGCTACACAGTATATCTCCTGGAATACTAGGGGAAATGTTGAAATGAGTTTTCCACAAGGAAGGATTACTTAAACGGGTTAATAATTTTCTTTATCGTCTAGCATAAGCCCAGTATATTCCAGTCAAGCCAGAGTGCCCTCATTTGGAGGCATTTGTTTTCGACTGCTCGTGACAAACGCCCTGAGTAAGAACAGGATTTAATCGTTCGGCTTTACCTTTATAAATGCAAGTATTTTTTATAAAAAAACAACATTAAAAATCCCATCTTGTGCTAATATGGCAGCCAATCAAGTCGTCCCAAAATTTTATAGGGCTATTGAAGTTTGTAACGGATATGGATTATGTTGTATACTTACAAGGAGTATTACTAAACGGACAGATACAGTATTATTTGAATGGACAATTCACCATCTTAGACAGGTCTCATAATTATGAACTCTGTAAAACTCAACAGGTACCTCGCCCTTAATTATAATATTTGAAGATTTTATTTGCTATCGAATTAATTTCCCCCATCGATTGTCAGAACGCTTATAAATTTAAATTTATTTTATAAAATATCCACAAAAATGGTATTTATTGTACTCATTTTTTAAAATTAAATTTATGTTTTATTCCGATTTTGTACTTGGAATTAAGAAATTTCTAGGACCGTAAGGTAGTCTTATTTAAATCATAACATACTTCCATTTACTCATGCTGCTTATTGAGTATACATCATAGTCCACCTCTATTCGAAACTTTTATGAGCATTATTTAATTCTTCCCCATAGTTTGTAGGAATGTATGCTTTTACCTAGACGGAATGTAGTTCGCGAAACCTTAATGCAACTGTATCTACAATCTGAATTTAAAAATTATTCGGGAAGTGAAATTTTCTAAACAACAATTTTCCCTTTCTTCAAGTATAATCTTTGAAGGAGAAGAAGAAATTCTGTTACCGACTAAGTACTAGAAAGAATATTTTTGTTCATGTTTTCTATAAAATATCTCTGAATTCCTAAGGGTATCGAAAGTAAATGAGAGAAAATCATACCGATCATGTAGTCAGGTTTGCATTGTGTAGATTAGTCAGGCGTCCTAAAGGAAGCTCATTTGAAAGCGGGCATGCTAATATGACTGGAGTATTTTCAGACTATACCTCACGGCACTTACTTGTGCAATCCTACATCGAAAATTACTTTCAAAATTTCGCTTTACATTTCATGACAAGTCAAACAAACAGGTTCGAGTCTCGCTACCCTTCAAAACGCCCACAACCCCTACGATTTCCGTCTCGCGCTTACATACACCTCCTCAGCTGGTGAAATGCTTTAAAATGAGTGAAGAGTGTGAAACTTTTGGGGAATGGTGAGGGCTATTGAGTGATGCTGTTTTGGTGCATGCAAGTTTCTAGCCCCTTTTGCGTCATCAGGCACCTATAAACTGCACTTGGCTGCACTCTCTTGACAGCCAGAAGAAGGCACAGCTAGCGCAGTTACTTGACATTGGTTCTGAGCACTGCGCGATCGATGCCTTATGATTGCCACTCAGGGAACCAGGTGATTCCGCCACACAAGTGGGCCAAAGACTGTTTTTGTCAATCTCCGCCTGCAGGTATGCGCAGCAGACCTGACATCCAGGCTAGCCTAAATGTCAGATCGACTGACGGACTGACTGACTGACACATGTGTGGGCTGTGAGCAGATATAAAAAAAGAGCAAGGCGGAAGTGAAGGTTGCTTTTGCAGCACAAGAAATTTTGTGCTCCCGGAAAGGGTCCTGTTTGTGCCAATTATTGACATATTGCAAGCGAGGTGCACGACCGAATATTAGTTTAAGCACATGAGCGACAGATGGATGGCTGTGAAAATCCCATGACACAGCCAGACCACAACATTACTTTTTGGCTAAGCTTATAACTTCGGCGCAGAAAGGTTCTTTTACAGTGGACGTGTACAGTCATGAACAGTGAAATTCTCAACTTTCAGAAAATCACTGAAATGAAACTCTTTGTTGGTCATGAAAATGTTTTAACTTTGAACTGTTGTAATCTCCAAGATGGTGGGAAGATTCTATACTTCAGCTAGGTGACAAGCGTATTAGTATTTACGAATCGGTTCAAATCAGGAAATTAAAATGCTTTCGAAACATTACCGAGGTTCGTAAATGAAGTTACTTGATCCTAGATCAATCGTACTATGGAGTGACTCACCCTCGTTTAAAATATTAGTCATGGATTAGCAAGAGACTTTAAATGCATATAAGTTAGCTGCTCTACGGGTTCGTTAACTGTTATTGATTACTGGCAAACTTGAGATAAAAGTTGCTTTTTTAAATAACGCGATTGTTTCACTGAAGTGTTTCTCAATCTGAAAGTAAGGGTACAGTCAATTCCGGACGTCGGGAAACATCGAAAGCAAAATTATCAAACGAAAAAGATTGCTGCAACGAAGTCGTATAAAAAACTGATAAGAAACGACGTTCCTAACAGATTATTAAACGGTACGCAGACTTGCGAATATACCTCTATCAGTTACTTGCATGTAGTGCAGTCGGAAACATGAATAAATATTAGGTGTTTTTGTTCTGCTTTAACTAGGTGAATTCATTCATAGTTGTCATACAAAAGACCTTTGAGGATATCTGTGAGAACACGCCTCATTCATGTTTCCTCCACTGTTACACAAAAATCCATTTTCAACACTTATTGTGTAATATAGTAGCTCATACCTGAAGTTGACTCCCTGGGGAGGAAGATATATCGGCCTCCAAAATTTGCAAATTTGACTCGCATTAGTGTTACGCCTAAAGCAGGAAAGGTGATGTGGTTAGAGAGTTGTACTTCTAGTCAACATGTTCGAGCATCGGCTGCTGCGAAACCTGGGGCTGAGTATGGCTGACTGAATAAAATTAACAGATTGACGCAGTCGCTAAATACCCGTCGACAAAGGCGAAAGAAGGAGTGGAATACTTATTTTTGGTTTTCCTCGGTGTCCTCGAGCGCTCATTTTTACGTCTGTTTTATTGAAACGCAGGCTGGGATTGCGCTCATACAACCTTTTGAGACACATTTCTGCAGAATATATATATATATATATAGTGTTATTTACTCAGATAGATAGCCCACTGAAAACCTATAAGTGATTCTACGTTTTCTGGAATCTAGATGTTCACTTTAAGTAAGCGGGAGAGGGCTCGTTTACTGTTAAAAATAAACTGAATTAAATATGCACACTGGGATATTTGACGCCTCTCATCCGAACTAACTAAATGGACAATGCCATGATAACGTATTCCTGCAGGGTCTTTGGAGTGTGCGAGTCAATGTTGCCTTTATTTTTTGTAAAGATGCAATAACTACATCAATTTGTGAATAGATTTGCACGAATTAATTAAGCAGGTGGCTCATAAAATGTGCATTCAGGAAAATTTTCGTCAAGCCAGAAGAAAGCCAGCCCTTATCCATATGTCCTGACTTAGTCTTGCCACCGAGTCCATATGGGGGAGAGAGGAGAAAGTTTGGCAGAGCAAGAGCTTGTTCCAGGGATCGTGTCTCTTTCCTCGAAATAGGGTTCGCCTGCGATGCTGAGAGGATTTATGAAACTGATATCTCCCTCCTCTACCCCCTACGGTAAATATCGTGGAATAACAAGCTCGCACTTCTTTTCATAAAAGTTAGTGCACGAAAATTTTTGATAATCTCTTCAACCGTATGCCGTGGTTGCTGCCAGATACTTCCACTTTTTTGCGCGGCTACAAGGTGGTGGTGACGATGCTTCAGGAGTTGGCTACTGTTTTGTCATCCATCCACCACCTCCTCCTCCTCATCACCATCCACGTCAGCGGGACAACCGCAACTTGTCACGATGCGGCCGGGTACACACGCACACACGCATCAGGTGGACCGCCCTCTACGGCCCGTAAGGAGGCCAACAGGAGGGAGATGTAAGCATGTGGACGAACAGATGCTTCAAAGACCCGCGGCCGGTACACTTGCG